ATAAATTTCTTATCTGCATGATTTTCATCAAACATGTTTATGTATTTGTCTTGATAATCTTTTACGCTCTTTTCCAACTTAGAAATCTTAACTCTCAGTTCTTTATTCTCCTTCTCAAGAAAAGCCGTCATTTCAAAATTTCAAGATTGATCAAAGAATCTTATGCAATGAACGAAATCAGTCAAAGAAATCAAAAACCAATAAAAAATTTCAGATAAAATCAGTAAGCTAAAAAATCTCAGAAAAACTCAAAAAACTGTTCAAAAAATAAGAAAATCAGCGAAAACAGTTAAAAATCAGTAAAAAGGGTCAAAAACTGTTGAAAGCAGTTAAAAACAGTCAAAAACAGTTAAAATTGATCAAAAACAGTTTACACGACACAAAACAGATCGAAAATCTCAAAACAGTTCAAAACAATTCAAAAACAGTTCAAATTCTCAAAAATCAGTTAATTTAAAGAAAAACAGGTAAAACAAAGTGGTAAACGAGGATGATATCAAGGTAAAAAAGTGACTGAGGTAGAGAATAATATGATCAAAAGGGTATCTGAGAAACACTAATTGCTGGCCGAGAAGACTAGCTCGGACACGGGTATTGCACGATGTAGCCAAATCTTTACAAAGCTATGTGCAAGGATGAAACAGATCACGACCAAAAATGATAATCGAGAAATGAAAATCACTTGGCCGAGGAGTCACACAATTGCTTGGCCGAGTCACACAATCCGAATGAGGCTGCTATGCGATTTACACTTCAACAATTCTCAAAACCGGATGCAACTACATCCGATTTACACTACAAATTTACAAACCGGACATCTTGAGAGATTTAAAAACAAATACGGACAAGGCTTTGTACGATTTAGCCAAGTCCGGGTGAAACAGCTGGATGCGAGCAAACAACTTTGGTCGAAGAAGCTCAAATACGGACACAGCCTTGTCCGAGGAAGGCATGCTAGAAAGAGAACTTGTGACCAAGACGGTATCCAGGGAGCCTAATCCGGACGGCTCTTTGTCCGGGGTTGTCCAATAGTTGAAAAATGTGACTAAGTAAATGATCGATGAACAAATCCGAACACGGGGATTAAGCGATAATGACCGGTTTGTGACTAAGAGTTATCAAGGAAACCTAAATCGGGTGAACCCTTGTGCGAGATAAAGTCGAATACTGTCAGGATGTTGAGCGATGACCTTGAAATCCGGATAAACTATGTGCGAGGTAAAACTTGAATCTGACAGGCTGTGCGATACAGATGGAACTCAGACAAGATGGTGTCCGATTTATGTGAAAATCGGTCAAGGTAGGCAGCGATTTAAGTAAAATCGGACAGTGTGATGAAAAGGATAGCCAAATCCGGTTAGGCCTGTGACCGATTTTAACTAACACCGATTGATCCTTTGAACGATTTAGCCAAGTACGGACAGAGTTATGTTCGGATTACAATGTAAACAAAACACCAAACTCCTTGTGCGATGAACTTGAATACGAATGAGACAGCAGGAGGTGTAGGTTAAGTATAGTTAGTGAGGTGTGAGATTTAGGCCAAGTTCAATCAAATACGGATGAGGTGTTATGCTTGAGCAATGAACTATGGCAGAGTTAGACTAAAGGGGCTGGGCGATTTTAGACCAAAAAAAATACCAAGTATGAAATCTGCCAAAACAACAAACGATTAAGAATGAAATTCAATCAAAACACAACACCACCACCACCACAAAAAAAGACTCAACTTTTTAACACCATTTTGGATCAAAAATTGACTTTTTGAAAACTTTTTAAGAACACAAAAAAAAAAAAATTAAAATCCACAAATTGAGCAAATCTTGAAAACCGATGATCAAAACACAAAAACTTGTGAATAACAAAGATTTACGATCCAAAAACGCACACTTTGATCACGCTTTTAACACCAAAACACAAAGATTTGAAATTTTTTCGGATCAAACTGTTAAGAATATGAACATAAGATGAACACGATAAACTCTAGAAAATTTCCTACAAAAAATTCTTCAAATCAGTGATTTCTTCTCGTGATTTCTTTGCATAACTTGTTCTGATACCAATTGTGAGTCTACAATATGATCAATCTTCATGTATCTTCATGAATTTCAATGGCATTCTTCATGAATATTCAAGAACACTTGAAGGAGAGTTGAGAGGAAAAGTCAACAAGTCAAAGTATATTCAATCTCTCAATTGAAAGTATGTTTTACAATGAAGCTCTCCTCACACCCAATAACACTAAAGGACAAAACTTATATAGGGTCTGCTAGTCAAAGTCAATATGATTAACAAAGTCAAATACACTATCTATATTATTATAGACTATAAATTTTCAAGACGAATACAATTTAACATTAAAATTCAGTCCTAACAACAAAAGATAACTAAGCTACAAAAATTGACAAACTCGCATGCAACAATGATTATGACCAACTAAACTAAACAAAAATAGTATAAATGTCCAATAATAAGTGTTGAAGTAGCACGACAATGTCTTATTGTTGCAGTTTCCACATATAATATCTATTTTCTACATATCATCGAATTCTCTCTCTTTTTCCCCTATAATTAAGGGGTTGTTTACTAACTTACTACTTATTATCGGGTAACTATCGGATAAGAATCCTTACTCGATTTGAGATAATAGTCTTTAGCAACAACCTTACCAGTTCATTTTGCTTATCGAGAAAGACACTTATACCATGCTATTTTGATGACCCATAATATTATCCAGTTTGGGTTAGTAAAATTTCGAATAAAATCCTTTGGTTTGCTGCAACCTTTTTCATTAGAACTTCTTTCATCCTCGATTTACTTACCATCAATTTACGATTCTTTACCAAAGGGCCTTCGGCCTAGTGGTATCGTAACCTTTGGCTTCCTAGGAGTTTATTTGTTGCATTTGCCGTATATAAATATTATATACTTTTAAAAAAATTACGATTCTTTAATTGCATTTCATTGGTTTGATATAATCTTTCAAACTATTTCCAACAACAGTTGTGAGAATGTGGAACTACCCATTAGATTATTCCCCTATAAAGTCGTTAAGAAGAGAATAGAGATTCTATCATATATGAAGAAGAAATAGAAGTCTAATCGATGTGGGATTCGAATACCTCTTAAAAAGAAACTAGATGTCCATAAATTATCTAAGAGTATAGAAAGGGGGCTAAACAAGTACCGCTTATCCACAAATGTTAGAATCCCTAAAATGGTAAACTTTTGCTTCTTTATAACATTATTGGATTCATTTGTTGTTTTTGCAGGGGAGATTTGTTAGAATACCAAGTTCTCCCACTTGTGAGGAGGAGACATAAGCAACTACACTATTACACCCTGTATTTTGTTGTTTGTGCTATTAGGCCCCTTCACTTTTTTCTTTTTACATTCTAATCCCTTTATTTCTTTCTTTTGGTATACCAATTGGGTAGTGTTATTGAGTTGAGGAATGCATAGGATAGGAAGGGAAGTGAGAACTCAAACAATTTTGCTATCAGTATTCAATCATATCTTTTATTTTTTTATGTAATTCATCTTAATCAGTTATTTGTTGTTGATATTGAATTTTTGTATTTATAAAGATGTTTCTTTTTACTTAGTCTTGTAATAAGTATTTATATTTACTTTTAGCAACAAAACAAATAATCTACGTCTTTCATTTTTATTAGAAATTTTTATACAATAACTGCTAAAGAGGTTGTATTGTTAAAAAGAATACTTGTGTTTTGACTCGGATAAAAATATTTTTTAGTTTGACCTACGCTTTTGATCAACTCATCAAAGCTTCAGCGTTAAACCCAACCTTAACTCTAACCTTGTTGCGACACTATTTTAATGATGCATTAACCATGTCATCAAAACATCAATTTGCAACGTTTCAATTTTTGACATACCTTATTCTTAATGGTTGTAACTACCATCCATACATCAATATCGTATTTAACAAAATGTTGAGACATTAAGTGCATCTCTAAGTGTATGGTACAAGTCGTACACTTAGTTATTATTGCAAAAATCAAGGAATACAATGGACTATGATTAACAATATCATGCTTGGACTAAAAATAAGCAAACGATGGAATACCGCAAAATGTATCTAATAAAAGAAACGTTTTAGTAATTGGTACATGTTTTGTTAAATCCACCAAATTCTATCTTCTTTTTCTACATCATAGTATCTATCAAGAGTTTCCATAGAACGAAGTACGATTTCGGAATTTTCGTTCTACAACATATTTTTAACAACACAACTTATATTGCATGTATAGAAGTCTTATTTCAAACGACAAATAGAAACATGAACTCATGAGTAGTTTAGTAAACATATATTGGCATTTACCGGGTATAGACATTTGGACCTTGTAAACAACTTTATTTTATCATTTTGCTGACTGAGAATATTACCGGATAACTGAACTGACGATGGTAACTCTTATCCTACCAAAACATTTATTTACTGATAAAAATTGATGGTATCTATCAAAAACATTGCTATGTTACTTTGATTAGTGAGAATCATGCCGCACAACTTATTTGACAATTCAGGTGAGGTGGAGCCTGTATAGTTTTACCTAAAAGAAACCAGATGCCAACTTTCTCTAATGAAAACCTAACATCATCCTTTTTAACTTTTCGTTTCCTGAATATCGTTTTTTCAGATGTTTATTTTTAATAATCGGGGTTTCAAGATGATGTAGTATAAATCTTTAACCATCAAAATAAACGAGATTGAGAACACTTCTAAGGCATTCTTCTTGAAAAATAATATAATCATTGAAGTCACTATTTTTTTCGAAAAATAATATTTAAATGAAAGTAGAAAGAAGGTCTTTTTCTACATAAACACAAATTATCATGGATAGAAAATAATAAGCCTTAGAAAACAACCAACTACATAAACAAGTGGTAATTAAATGTCGTGATCACAACATTGTCAACGAAACCAAACAAAACAATGCAAGCACGCTAGAAAATGAAGTCTCTAACCTCGCTCAAGAACACATATATTTGTGTATCCTTTTAGCTTGAATTTTACAAAGAATTTTCCCTCCCTACTTGATCTCGAACCAATGGCTTTAAATAGTGAGCCGACTTCCGTGGATCTGCTACAAGATTCGACGCCCGTCATTGACTACTCCTTACTTACCATAGGCACTGCTGATGACCGTTCTAAGGTTGTCCATGATCTTGGGAAAGCCTGTCAAGACTGGGGTTGTTTCATGGTATGTATGTGTAAACATTTCATTTTCGATCCTTTTACGGTTTATGGCCCATGATTTGCCTTTTGTGTTTTGTGTTTCGGGTTATGTAAGCTGGTGAATCACGGGATACCGGAGACTCTCATCCACGAGATGATGAATGCATCAAATGAGTTTTTCAATATGACAAAAGAAGAAAAGGTCGAATTTGCAGCCCTTGGAGTTTTAGATCCCATCAGATGCAGCACCGGGTTCAATCCTGTCAACAAATATAAAGACTCGTTGTGGAGAGAGTATCTTCGGCTCATCGTTCATCCCGAGTTTCATTGTCCTTATAAACCTCCGGGTTTCAGGTACACTCTTTCACAAGGAAACAACCGCTCCATGGGGTTGTTTACCATAAGCGCTTATCGAGTTAAAGTCACCACCCTCACTTATCTTACCGGTTAAAATTCCCGGTCATCAAAATAGCATAGTATAAGTGTCACTCGTATTGTACGCCTAATTGGGCAAAAGTCACCACCCTCACTTACTGTGTAAGATTCTCGGTTAACAAAAATGACACGGTAAGATTGTTTGTAAGATTATCATCTCTTATCAGGTAAACATCTCTTACCCGGTAAGAGACTATATGTTTTGTTCAATCGGTAAGAAGTGGCAAGTGTTTAGTAAACAAACCCCTAAGTCTATCCCTTGCAGTAGAGGTCAGGTTTGCATACATCTTACTCCCCAGACCCCAAAGACCACATTTTCATGTGAGATATACTGGTTTCTTTTGGTTTATTTTTTACTGGATCTATGGATTGCACCAGTGAACTTGCATCGTACTATGTCAAAAGGACAAGAACAGTAGCGATGGAATTGGTGAAAGGAGTGTCAGAGAGTTTAGGGTTTGAAGCATCGTACATGTACGAAGAACTGAACTTGGACTCGGGATTTCAATTGTTAGCGATCAACTACTATCCCTCTCTAGCAGAGTTTGATACTCCACGAGGGTTGATGCCGCATACAGACCACGGACTACTGACTCTGCTCTACGAAAACGGTGTTCCAGGTCTTGAAGTTCTTCTTAATGGGAAATGGGTGAGTATGAGTGATGTTCCAAACGCGTTCTTGGTGCTCAATTCGGATCATCTCGAGGTAATTAAGTTGGAACTAAGTATGTGTTTGGTATGCCAGACGGGACAATACAAAACTTGTCACGTTTGACAAAAACATTATACTGGTACACGATTTTGAGTGGGACAAAGATGCATTTTGTCTGTCCCACTAAAATAGGTTGAACAAAAATATGGTAGATGTAACAAGATGGATAAACTACTAAAGTACTCATATCAAATTAAATCCCAAAAACCTATCAACTTTTTTACTCGCCTACCTCTTTCTTATTCGTCCCGTCCAAATCTAGTCTCGTCTGTATACCAAGCACACCCTAAATGAACACGACATTGTTTCTTGAGAAAGACTACGATAATTTGACAATAAAAATATTTTGACAGATTTTTAGCAACGGAAAATACAAGAGTAAGTTGCATCGAACTGTGGTGAAGGATGAACGCAAAAGGATCACACTTGTGAACCCCAACGGCCCATCACTTGACACCATCGTTGGTCCGTCATCAAGGCTTGTAGATGGTGAAAACAATCTCCCTGGCTATCTTCCGATGAAATATAGCGAATATCTGGAGTTGCAGACTAAACTTACGATGGCGGGAAAGCATGCCTTTGATAAAGTTCGACTTCACATTTAGTAACGGCATAAAGAGCAACGACTTATATGATGCAATTGTTTGCTTTTCTTCTCTGTTGTTCACTTGTTTGTATCATAGTTTCTAAATTTCAACCGATCCTAATTGAATGTTCTTCAAACGTAATAAATGTTCAACAAAAGAACGTGAAGTGGTGTTCACTTAAAACACCATGCCATTGGAGCAAGCGTATGCTTTTTAGGTGCATTTGGTAGCACGGCAGATTGGACAAGTCAAAACAAAAACTTATTGTCCCACGTGTGGCGCAAGAATTAGACCGGAATGGAGAGGATCAAGTGGGACAAAAATATAATCTTTTGTCCTACCAAAAACAAGGGAGATGGAAAAAATACTAAGCTAATCATGTGAAACTAAAACCTCAAACCTTCCATAATTATTTCACCACTTTGCCTCGCTGTCGCCATAAACGCACCCTTACCGAATGGAACGTCGCTTACGACCAAACCCTCCAAAATTATTGAAATCCTGAAAGATGGTGATACTGAAGATGGATATAATTTTCATCTTTATGAGTCGGCCATGGCCAGAAACCAAATCAGAGTCGAATGTACACCTAGAGTTGGTGTTTTTACACCAACACGTGGGTTCGACGAAAGTGATGTGTGCAACATGACAGGATAGGGTTACGGTTTGGGAAGGAGTTTAACTAAAACAGTCTCTACCTCTTAGGGTAAAAAGGAATTCCTCCATATATCCTAACCCCAGATCCTACTTCGGAGATTGTTTGAGTGGTTTAATCTAAACTGTGTTTGGAACTTGATAACCTGTTGAGAATTTATCTTTCTGAAAATATGATAAAAGTATGACCAATCAATTTTCTCGATTAATATGATACAAGTATATTTACATTTACATATCAACCTTTGTGAGGAAAAATTTTGTAACCTAAACTACGAGGGAGGCCATGACAAAACGAAGAAACTCGTTTATTAGAGCACTCTCAAAAATCATAATCACAATATATATGTATACGATATGTAAAGAAGAAATCACCTCACATTTCTGATAAAAGGTTGCTAATCTTACGAAGCTCTTTGAGAGCTGCCATGGCTGTAATCTGTCCTCGGCCTACCAAAGCAATTTTTGCTACAGGTTCTGTTTGAGCTTTTTGTTGCTCGAGAACAGATTCAATCACCTGTAATACAAGAGGAATTCGAGAACAAAACCATATTAGAAGACAACATCAAACGATAAAACAATCTTGACCTGCTTACACTATAACAACATCAAACGATAAAAAAGTCTGGATGTTCCAATAGACTTCTTTATAGGACTTAAGTTTATAGACCCAAACACTTGTGTCATGTAAAGACGTTACAGTAAGTTGATATGAACCATTTGGACGTCCTAACAAGTTTTTAGGACAATTTTGAAATAAGGAGTCCTATATTAGTCTTTTTATGTCATTATTTGAGAACACATCTTATAAAAACAAATGTCTAATAAAAATATTTGTACATATGACACTTTTCAATGGTGTCTTAATAAAAAAAAAAACTAATATAACATCTATTTCAAAAGTGTCCTAAAAACTTCATTTCATCCTATTGTAACTAGGGCTGTAAACGAACCGAACGTTCAGCGAACCGTTCGTGAACCGTTCGGCGGGAATTTCGTTTATGTTCGTTTATTTAATTAATGAACGAACATGAACAATTTTTTGTGTTCGTTTAGTTAAACGAACGAACATGAACAAGAGTCTCGTTCGTTCATTTACCGTTCGTTTACGTTCGTTCATTTATCGTTCGTTTACGTTCGTTTATGTTCGTTTATGTTCGTTCGTTTACGTTCGTTTATGTTCGTTTATGTTCGTTTATATATTAAATTTAATATACAATTTTTTATTTATTTACTTTGAATTCAAGTAATATATATTTATGTTCGTTTAGCCCGTTCGTTTATGTTCGTTTAGCCCGTTCGTTCGTTTACGTTTGTTTAGCATGTTAACGAACGAACATAAACGAACACGAACACACCTTATTTCTAACGAACAAACACGAACACAAAGATTTTCGTTCGTTTACCGTTCGTGTTCGTTCGTTTGTTCGGTTAAGTTAAACGAACGAACATGAACAAGCCTCCGTTCGTGTTCGTTCGGTTCGTTTACAGCCCTAATTGTAACACCTTTATATGAAATGCATAATTGTTTGGTCCTATAAACTCTTTCGCAGTGTCTGTGAAGGTGACAGACTCTCTTTGTTCAGTCATATGTTGGTCCAGAGAACAAGTTGGCTTCCTTAAGTCCATTGTTCTGAGGTAGCTCAGTGGTAGAACGGTAGGCTGTTAACCGACTGGTCATAAATTCAAATCCTAGTTGGGGAGAGTGTTATGAATCAAACTATCAATCTATGAACAAACAGATCACAGAAGGCAAATGAGTCGGCTCTAAATTGAAAGGTAAACAAGGAATTAGTAGCATTCGAGAGGTTAGCACTCTCCCAAAGTGATACTCACTAATTTTCTCGATACCCCCTTCTACACCCTTCCCCTACCTTTTATACTACTTACCACCCAGATTATTCTAGAATATCTAAACATGATGATGAGCTTGGGCCTTGTAAATCCATGCATGACAGAGAGTTTAGAGTTTAGCCTATAAAGTAGTCTATTAGGACATCTAAACATCTTTGGCGTCCTATAAAGCCAATTATGTTGTAGTGTTAACATTAAATGGAAGTATGTAATACCTCAATATGTTCTAGCATGGAACGAGCAACATCTTTCAAAGATGACATATTATTCTGATCAACAGCTTCAGGTTTGCTGGTCCCATCTGTTGTAGAAGAAGATGGCACCGCGTTTTTCTGATTACATTCAGTAACGGGTGAAATAGAAGACTCAGATGTACATACACCTTTCTCCGCTGATCCCTCGGGCCCGGTTTTTGCAAACATCCATAACCACTGAAACTTCCCGGCTAGAAGTCTTCTCTCTCTCAAATTTGTCACCGCCCTTTCTTTAGTACAATCATTCTGCACCTCCTTAAACAACATATCTTCGGGGGGATCCGAGACTGGTAAAGGTGAAGCAACTTCTTCAGTAGCACTATACAGAGCTGCTGGGTGGTTCCCGATAACTGAAGAATTGGATGCCACACTGCTTCTTTCGGTCTCATTCCCATGATCATTATTAATAGCAAAGCATCTTGGGCTTACAGGGTCAGAGAAAATGGATGAATTCTCTTCACTGCCTCCATTTACGCTTGAAAACCGCACTTTAGAGTCATCTTCACTTGCTAATTTCTCATCTATTTCTGAGCCCAGTTGATGGGCTAGATCATCCAGCAAGTTTTTCCTAATGGGTGATCTTGAACGGTCCACAATTTTGTGATTTACCTTTGAAAGGAGACAGGCAGATTCAGTCCTTGATAAACGCATCTTCACTTTCTCTGACCAACCCTTAATGCGGTTTTGAACTAGTTTTTGTGGGGTAGCTTGCCTTCGTTGTTCTTCTTCTTTGGTCAAGACCCTCCACTTTTCTTCCCAATAGCTCTCTGGCACCAAACTGCGCGGACTTCCAGGAGCAACGAGATCAGACGAAAGACTTTGACCTCTAACCCCCACTGGTTTCGAGTTAATAGCATCAATTGCAAGAGTCATCAAGGATTTAGCTTTCTTGATCAGTTTCGCAAGACTGACATCTTCTGGAAAGTTCAGCAATCTTTGAAGGCAGGAAGTAGCATTCTCGGTTGCAAGAACTGAAGATCGCAAATAGAGTATCATTGAAACAGCAAGTGCTGAAATGAAGGCTCCTCTTGACGATTTCAAGACCCCATAGCTGACTTCGGATTCATGTTCAGAACCTCCACTTAATCTACTGTTATCAAGCGCAAAAATTTCATCCCAGATGACTAAGAGGTCCTCGAGGGCAAACTCACGTCCGAAAAGAACCCTTAACCAGCGAAGAGCAAAGTACTGTGGTTCAACTCCAAGCTCAACAAGATGCGTGTATAAAGATAAATCAACTATAGAGAGCAAGTGGTACAAAGCAGACGATGCTTCTAATACAGGGGGTAATCCGTTTTGTGGTCCGTTCAAAGGAGAATGTGAGAAAAAATTTGCCATCGCAACCGCACCACCATCTCCGTTCATCAAAGCATCAAACATAGAATAAGCATCGTGTTCCATAAATTTCTCGGATAAAACGATACCCAATTCCCCCTCTGCCCCATATGCATCGCTAAACAAAATAATGGTTTGTATCTTAGGATCCAGTTCGTTAAGGTAATTATCCTTAACCTGGTCCTTCTGGTTTTTAATAGCATCTTCCATATGTGGAGAACCTTTTTCCAAATCAGATTTATAAGCAGAGTCGGTTTCATTAAATGATAGACCATCAAAATTGTCAGTGAAGTAATCTTGGTATTGTTTTCGCACTTCAGAAAGACGCTCTAAATCAGCCTGGAGAACATATAGAAGTGGAGCCAGAAGCTCATGCATCCCTGCAAAGTAAACAAGAGACAAATCATCCAACAAAACCTGACTAGAACACATTATGATTCACTCTGAAGCCACAAAAATCCATTTTGAACAAATTTGTTCGTAAAACACATTCCTTTTAACTTAGAGGTAATTTTTAGAGGTTGTGGCAAATAAGTTAATATACACAACATTCTTAAAACATAATTAAAATTCTTTATGACATAAAAATAATAAGCATACAGATACAAACCCACATCAAAATTAGCAATATGATATTATGTATAATGTGCAGACTTAATTTTTCTTTTTACCAAGTTCCAAATCTATGTGTTAATCTTTCTTCCAACACTGCCATCACGCTCTCCCCCCCCCCCCCCCCTCTTTTCTTAAGGTAAACAAGAAAAAAAAAAACATTTACATAAGAAGTCAACTTTGAGACTCTTCCGAATCTGAAAACGTCTTAAACAAAATCTCAACGTATGAAAAACTTATCTTGTTGAAGAGATTAGAGCGCAAATTGTACACACAATGAATGAACAAACGGACACCAAATGCATCTATGATCAACTCCAAAGAAGGCACTACATCAGACTAGAGAGAGAGAGACAGGTGAATTATTTTCCTACAGGAGAGAGAACTGCACAAATTAGTGCAGTCTAATGGACTAAATTCATGAATGTGCTAGCGTATATATAAACAAACAATCCATCATTTACAAATAAAAAGATCAGAAATTAGTATCGGCCACACAATGTGGGGATAATAGCAACAAGTTCTATTTTCATTGTCAGCAAAACACAACCAAAACTCATTTTATTTCACAACTTATGACATGGTGTGCTTTCTATTTTTTATGTTTAAATGATTCAAATATGTTTCTAAGCCAAGTTGTAACGGTATCCTCCCATCAACAGCATGCATTTTTGGCTTTTTGCATTATAGCCATGCATATTCCTAAATGATTAAACCTGACTAACCTTCTATCATAACTAGTTTAATAGAGGAAAGAGACGATTCAAATCAAAAGAATACATTACCTTGCCGGTAGCCATAGTTTGGATGTCTAATACACCAAAGCAACAAAATCCGTCTCAACATGCCTTGGCACCCAGGCGTCTGGAAGTAGCTACCATGTTCAGGATACAAGCGTGACAAGTCCTGGTCAACCATTTTCTCTAACTCAGCTTTATGAAAAAAACGGCCCCACATGCTATCTGCATTACATTATTGCACGATCAAGTACTAGAAAATAATCAGAAGCCAGGTGATGAATGAGGCAGTTCTTGCTTCATTATTCAAGATTTCAGGGTTTGCTTATATTGCAATCTTTGTAAATGCGAAAATTGGGTGAAGCCCACCAAATAATCTAATTACTGGTCAAACTCTAAGTATAGTTCTGAAGTTCCAAAAAATAGAAACACAATGTCAATGATCTGCATAAAAGGTAAAGAAATATATATACCAGGGTTTTGCGATAGCGGATTGTCCATGACAAGATCAGGAAAATTGCTTCCATCCTTGGGAATATGAGGATTGATTAGGAGCCTCCTCCTTAAAGCAGCATAGCTTGAAATACAACATTTAATTTCAAGTAAGATATTTTAAGATCAAATATTACTCCTAAAAATCATAAAACCAGAGAAAGATGCTGGATAACTAAGAGAACATCAAGCCTAACTAGCTTCAGAAACTTGGAGATTATACAACATTGCCTGAAACCCTACAAAACCCTACTACTGAATCTTGCCAAACTCTGTATAAATCAAGAAAATAAAAAATTCCTTTACAAAATGATAAAGCAGAGATAACCTGGTTCATCTAAAGTAAAATAAACCCCAACATCCATCAATCCTGACGCCAATAACAAATGAAATAACTACAGACCTCGCCAACAAAATCCAGGAAAATATAGAACGTAATAAAAGATTAAAAGCAACAAATCAAAGTTATCATATTTAACCGGATATAAAAACCACAGGCATCAGTTGGAAAACTAAAACATGAATAAGCAATTAAACATGAATATTCTCTATAACTTAAAACTTAAATTCGAGACAAATTGATTGGCAGGGGATAATCGAACACAAAGGTGTAGGGAGAGAATCAATACCTTCTACGGCAATTGGCTGTCACACGACGAAGATCATTGACGGAAGAAGAGGAAGAAGAAGGCAAAATCCCCAAATCTATACGCCATTGAACCCCTCTTAGGTCCCCAAAACGGCGACACTTCTCCAAATCAGCTCTCTCTGGTGACAACTCTCCCGACGATGACGATTCCGGTAATGTCTTCTTCGCCGGCTCGATCGGAGCCGCAGGTGACATAATTCAGTATGTCCCAAAACAAATTTCACAAAACCCTCGAAATCAGAATCAACACCCACAATCCCCAATTCGCTAAACCATATCACAATGTTCGAGAGATTTGAACAGAAAAAACTGTCGGATGTGTATAGAGAAATAATATAATGTACAATTACCAGATACGTTTAAATGAAGAACAAACCAGGTCAAATATTCCAAATTTATAGAGAAAGACTTACGTACACGTTATCAATCGTTAGGGTTTGTGAAGATTTCGTGATGAACAATAAAAGAGATGTGATCGATGTGAGAGGAAAATCCAAAAACACATAGTTATATACAGAATTTGTATCCAAATGTTCAGAAAGAAAAACAAGAATGGAGAATTACCAGATGGAAAATTGGGAATTGTGGGTGATTTTTAATTTTTCGATTTGACTGCAAGAACATTTGAGAAGATGAAGTGGTGAGATGGAGCCTCGAGGGCACTAGAAAAGAATGATTCGGATATTCTGATCATTTCACCTCATTTTTATTTTGGACACCAACTTTCACTTAATTCCTATTTTAGGAAATCAATCTTTAAAATAATTATTTTAAAGAACCAATTTGTACCTGATTCTTATTTTAGAGAACCAACTTACAAAATAATTATAAAAAAATAACTAAAATTCGTTTTTTTCAAAAATTAATGCAATAAAATCTAWTTTTCATTTCAAATCTTTTTTTTTAATTCAGATATCAAATTGAAGATTTTTTCGGAAAAAATCCAAATTACCATGATAAAAATTGTTTTTTACTAATACAATAAAAAATCAATTTAATAGAAAAAAATTAATTGATACAATAAAAAATAAATATTAAATATCACATTCAAGATTTTTATATCTAACCAATCTATGTCAATATTAAAGTTTAAATCAAATTTGGCAAATCCAACCAAATGTTTTGATAGAGTCCCTTAAATTACATGTTACATGTTCAACAGATCAACCAGACCCTTAAATAAACATAAAGTTTGATAGAGACCCTTAAATGACGATTTTAAAAGTTGGTTCCCCAAAATAGGAATCAGTTGAAAATTGGTTCTATTTTGGTGTAATTTTCCCATTTTTCTATAATTTTTTTACAAGTTGATTCCCCAAAATAGGAATCAAGTGCAAGTTGGTTCCCCAAAATGACGATTTTGAAAGTTGGTTCCCCAAAATGACGATTTTGAAAGTTGGTTCCCCAAAATAGGAATCAGGTCCAAGTTGGTTCCCCAAAATGACGATTTTGAAAGTTGGTTCCCCAAAATAGGAATCAGGTGAAAATTGGTTCCATTTTAGTGCAATTTTCACTTAATACAAAGAGTAAAGTACAATTTTGGTCCTTATGGTTTACATCCAACTATAACGTTTCTAAACTTTATTAAATACAGAAACGCTAACTATGGGTTACATTTAGTGTTTCATCTAGTTAATTATGTTAAAAAGAAAATGTTAAGGGATTGTTTGTTTTTTGAAAAAAAATCACTTAATACCTCTTAACTCTGAATCAGTTAGACGTTTTTGTTTTCAAACCTTTTTTTTAAGTAAGAGCTGAAAAGCGTTTATTTTGTGATAACTAGGTTCTAGTTATCACCTGAGGTAATTGTTATGTGATTACCTGATTACGTGATTACATGAATATTTGATTAATTGTTATAATTAATCATCTCGGTACATGCTTACATGAAGTTAATATGTGAGTGTGTGTTTATTTTTCCATGCATGGAAGGTATATTTATGTTATGCATGAAAAGATATGAAGTGAATGCATGTGTGGGTACATGTGTTTATATGTTATGTATGTATGCATGCGATGTGTGTGCGTGTGCATGAGATGTGTGTGTATGCATGAAATTATATGCATGCATGAGGGTTGTGTAACCGTCTTTCCATATGTGGAAAGGTATAAATAGAAGGGAAAAGATGAAAGGCAAAGTTTTCTTCCCACTTTTGAAAAGAAAATTGAGAGAAAAAGTCTTCTATAGATTCTGACTGATAGCTGAAGTTGGATTCGTAATTTGTTATTCATCTTCAAACCTCTGAAATTTGCATAAGGTGAGTGTTTATTAAAAACAGTCTTTGAATATGATTTGATTACTAGTTTTATATCTATGAAGTGATGATGTATATTTTGAATATGTTATATTTGTTCATGTTGGAACTTCAGTGTCCGGATGGGGTTATCCGGACAAGTAATGTCCGAAGAATGACCTTACTGGCCAAAGTCTTAACCGGTGAAGGGTATAGGGTGTTGTTAGTATTGATCGGATTAGAAAGTATCCGGACACTATGTTGTCCGGATTAAGGGAAGTCCAACTGTTGAAGTTTGTACCCGGACGTAGTGTTGTCCGATGAGGACTTGTCCGGTCATCTTTTGATTTATGGAAATTTTACCTAGACATTAGGCTATCCGGTTAAATTATGTGTTTGTGTTAGCCGGAGAAGGATGTCTGGATAGGCGACTTCGACCTAACAATTATGTTGTCCGGATAGAGTGACCGGCTGTCTTATCCGGACATGTGTTGGCCGGATGAGCTTGTTCGGACACAAGCTGTCCGTACAACTTAATTGTTTAATTTAAGTTTTTGATAGTGGGAATTCTCACAATTAACTTTTATTTGGGTTTAAATTTGTTATTGTAAAAAGGGGTATTTTATATCTTTTGAAATGGAAAAAAAATAACGTTTCTACCAGACTTGATAAAGTAAGTATGTTTTGGTCAGAAATTGTATTTTGGAAATGTTTTTAATAGACGTGGTGACGTAAGTCTGTTCTAAAATGAAACTTTGTTTTAAGAGGTAGTTCCCGCAGATAGGGGTGCTCAAGAACCCGATGAACCCAATGAACCCGACCAACCCAACCCGAATTAAAAAAAAAAAACCCAACCCGAGGTAACCCGATGCATGATCGATAAAAAAATTAGTCAACCCGACCTTATTGGGTTGGAATTGGGTCAGGCCCAAAAAAACCCGACCAACCCGACAACCCGATGAACCCGACCTTAACTTTAGTTTTGAATTGTAGATGACAATCATGACATGACCAACCTCAACGTCAAGAAAGCGAAAACATCGGGGTTGGAAACGTCTAAAACTATTGTTATTGATTGATGTATTATCATTTGGTTTAAACATTTTTATTGTAATATCTAAATATTTGATGAACTTGCATATTATCTTGAATGGTCGGTCGTATTTCAAAAGAAAGTTTTCTTTATTTTTATGTGATTTTACATTGTTTAAACACAACCCGATCAACCCGAACGGGTTGGGTTGGGTTGGGTTGAACTTTTGTTTGGGTTGGGTTGAGTTGAAAATTTTCAAACCGCTAACATTGGGTTGGGTTGTTAAAACGGCTCCAAACCGATCAACCCGTGCCGTGAGCACCCCTACCCGCAGACGTTGTGACATTTGTCTGTTCTGGCTTGGAACTGGGTGTTGGGTACTTCCAAACATGGTGACATTTGTCTGTTCTGGAAAGTAACCCTGTTTTAAAGAAGAAATTGAAGGGTTTTCTAGCCCTATAGGAATATACAAACATACATGTGGCAGCGGAAATAAACACACGAAAATTCCTATGGCAAGCATTCACTCTAAACCCTATAAAGGATGCTAGCCTAATGATTATAAGCAACACAACAATAAAAGAAAGGGAATAAGAATGACCTTTAATAGTCTAGCTGTCTTCTTTACTCGAGCCAATTGAAGGACTTGAAGATCCTCGCACACCGAGATGCAAGTGTCCAAAGTAGAACACCTCAAGTGGTTCACACCCAATGAACCCTCAAAGATTAAACTAGGAACTCTTGATTTAGCCTTCTAATAAGATA